ATATGAATATGCGGAGTGTAGACGAGACGAATATGAGTATGAGCCAACTGCCTTGTATTTGATTTCAGCTGGCTGTGATATGAACCATTTATGGAAAACGCACCATGAATTTACAATTTTGTGCTATGTTTTCCCTCCCAAACTCTCTCTCTGAGATATCGTTCATATTTGCATGTCTTCCGTACAGGTCTTGGACGCACACTCCACTCGGCCAGACTGCTCTGTTGCTGACTGAACATAGACTGCATGAACTTCCTCCTCCGCCGCCCGCCTCGCACTCCTGGCGTCTGGGTGGCGACGTGGCCTGGCGCGGCGCGGTCTGCATGGCCTGCGCCATCAATTCCGGGTAACGTGACGCAGTGTAAGGGGACCGTCCTTGCTAACCTGTCGTCTTTTACCTTGGCTCGGCCTGCCCTACCCCGCCTCGCGTCGCGCCTTCGCGCCCTCGCCGCGGCTTTTGCTGCCCGAGCGGGCCTGCTTCGAGCTTCGCGCTTATTTGGCGAAAAAATTATTCCACACTTGGAGTGTTTTCGCTGCCCCAATGAATGACTCCTACGCGCTTTGTTTTGCAGCCATTTGAGACGGGCGGCGACGGCGGGGCGCTCCGACTGCAAGGCGGCTCCACTACCGGGAAAAATGTGCAGCGCCCTACACTTCCCTTCCCTTTCTTGAATCAAAACCGACAGGTAAGCTTGATGCCACCACTCACAAAAGACATAATTTTCGTGTTAAGAAAGATTATTCAAAATAACTTGTTTTCATAATGCCGTGATTTTGTGTGTGGGAGTTGAAAATAAAATAATGCTGTACACACTGCTTGAAAAGAAAATGTTCTTAATTGCGAACGATTTTCTGCCTTCGCAGCTTGCACATAATCTTAAAGCATTGTTAAAAGTACTAGTTTTCGCAAGCTTGCAAACGCAAACTGTTTCTTTGCAATGCAATTCTGACAGCTTTAAATGAATTTCTTCACACTAAGAAGTAATTCTTTGCAGTTTATAGCTCTAAAATTATTTGCAACGTTGCAAAGCTTACAGTTTGCAAGAATTTCACGGTGCAATAAGGCTATAGTTTAAGCGAATAAACAAACATCACACGGTGCTGATTGTCCCTTCTCTCTTTTTTTCCATGTACACCAACCGAAGACGCGGGAATCAGGAAAATCGGTACGGGATGCAAAGGTTATCTGGCCGAAAGAGGGCGCCGCCGGTAAAGGAGGGAGTGGGCCTGTGCAAGGACACCGAGGGAAGGCCGCCTCCGATAGAAGAAGTATGTGCGCAGGGCCGGCGGGGCGGCGGCGCAACTGGATTTAAAGAAAAATAATAATAAAAATTGCGCCTCATTGGGTACCGCCTGGCCGCGGCCGGGCTGTCGCGCTCCTGACTGGAGCTAATTAGAACCAAATCAGATTGCAGCGAGCGCTGCTGTTCAGTCCCGTGTGTTACTGACCGGGCCCGCGGCGCGCAGCAAGCGCAGCGTGCTGCTCAGCGCTGCTCAGCGCGCCCCTCAGCAGGGCGCTCAGCAGCCCAGAGGCGCTTCTCAGGAGCGCCCCCCAACACCTGCACCCACGGCGGCGGCGATGGCGACGACGGCGGTAAATAAAAACATCGGAAACCGAAATGCCTATTCGCTGCTTCAACCCGATACTTCCACGACACTTTGCAGCGTTCACGTCTGGGTCCCGTCAGACTGACCGCGAAGAGGCGACGGCGGCGAGCGCGCGGGAGCGCGGGGGGAGGGGTGGGGGAGGAGGAGGCGATCAAGGATCCAAATTCGATCTCTGCGTTCCGCCGCGAGCTCTGCTGCCTTGGTTCGAATTACTGTGGCAAGGCGAAGGGGGCACTAAGGCGGGTCAGAGAGGGTGGGAGGATCGAGCATCACCAGCAGCGCTGCAGCAGCAGCAAGGCGTCGTCGTGCAAGAGGAGACGGCGGGCCCGGCGGGCGGACTCAGCGAGACGGAAGGCAAGGCGCCGCAGACGGGACGCGGAACGAGCAGCACGGCATGCTGTAATAAATAAATAAACCCCACCGACGTCAACTCGATAATCTGGATCGACGTGCCGCACGAGCGCGACACCCTGTCGTTAACTATGTAGGATTTAGTCTGCTGGGTGTAGTGGCTAGCCACTTGGTCCATTTTTCATTGGGTCTGCTTTCCGTATTTCAGTCTTTTTAAGGCGTCCTTCTGGACAGCGACTGTTCGCAGGGAAAATCATTGTTATAAAAATGTGACACTGACTAAATCTTCATTTGGTTAACGATTTTTTGGGCGATGTGTCTCTCACCCACACAAATCTACCCAGCCTGGCTGGCCAATAAGCACCCCACTTTGTCTGTGAGGGAGCTGGTCCCAAGGGGGCATGGGCTACAGTAGGAGGTCCAGGATTGTCGCTAGCGGGCGTCGGCGTGAAAAAGAGGGGATTGAGCGGGAATAAAGGGAAATTGTCGCAAGCGGCCAGCGCTACTTCCACGGCGTAGTGGCCGGAGCTTACATAAAATTTCAACCTTAGACTTCAACTTGGACGGCGGTGGCGCTAAGCGTGTGGGTGCAGAGACAGTGTGACACTTTGGGTTGCCGGCTCACCACTCACCAAATGAACCCCAAAAAGGTTTCCGCCATCATTTGATATGCACTTCGAAACACACAAATTAGTATATGTTGTGTGAGAAATTTTCTTCTACACATTTAGAATTTTTTAGCCGGCAGCGACCTGCGTAGAATGTATCGTTCCCTGCATTGACAGTCCGTATCTCGCCTTTATGGCTCAATCCCCCTAGAAAAAGAAGTTACTTTTACGTGGCTAATAGGAAACGTTGTGCACTACCTTATAAATACTAGCAACCCTGACAACAAACTTTGAAAGAAAATTAAAAAGTCTAAAATCAAAGCTAGAAATCAAATCAAAAAGATAGATTTATAAGTATGTATTACCCAGCAAAACAGTCACCAGACTCTAAGACAATAAAATGATCTCGAAGATATGTATATGTAATGGAAAAGCCTGTGTGATATTCTAATGTTATTAACTCTCTTTTTTAAAAATATTTGTAACTGTTATTGCTATTATTGTTAAATTTTTACAAGTTAATAAATGTGTTAAAAAAATAAAATCGGTAGAGCACCCGCCCAAAGCGTGGGAGGTGGAAGGTTCGACTCCAGACTAGGAAATATTTTTTGCTTTTCCGTTTGGCATTGGTTTACGGCCTCAGGGCCGACCTGAAGAACACGGCCCACCTTAGCTGACTGGGTAGCTCTGGTGGCAGGGTCGTTGTCATACACCTGTCTGTGAATGGTGAATGCAACCAGAGAACCATTTAGTTGATTAAAACTAAATCAGGGTCGCAGGGGCGATTCCTCCTCCCCCCCCCCCCTCCGGTCAGGTCAGCCGGACCTTATACCGCGCCTGACATTTTCACATCCCTTCATCCCTTTTTGATATCGTTAAGAAATAGAGAGACAGACGAGAAATGGTGCAGTCGGCAAAGACTTCTTGCACAACAGCAGCGACGCACGTCACCCTACGGCGACACCCGCGGAGTGACTCCGAGGCGGCCGCTTGTCCCACATGGCGCACATTCACACTCGGAACAGCCCGACTGCTCGCCGGGCCCGCCACGCGGAGCACGCGCAGCCGGCGCCCAGCCACGGCGAAAATTAGCTTCGCACGACCCTTCCCCACATTGTTCAAGGTCAAGAAACGATAAAGAAAAAATACATAAAAATAATTAATCTTCAGAATTTGACGACGACAGGAACAATATAATCAGCGGCCGATATTCCAACACTCTCACACGAACACGTATTTTTATTTCACCGAAGGTTAATAAGGGAAATAAGGCCGATTGTCTTTCAAATTTAGGGATGTTTTATATAGAGAATCGATTTCATTTTTTTGGGGTTCCAGTTACAGCCAGTTCACTGCTTCCGCGTTGGAATCGCTCACTCTTTACAAATACGCCATAACCCGCCATAACCCTATCGCGCTCCACTGCCCCGTCTCCTCCCGTGACCCCATTTTCCGCCACTCCGACGCGAGTCGGACAGGAGTAACATACCCGGGACGCTGCATTATTTGGCGTCGCGGCGGCGCGCTGCCGCTAATTCCCCCACTGGACGCGGCTGGACGCGTCGCGAACGCGTCGCGCGCCGCCGCCCCGGACGACAGCGTGTCACCGACGGCGATGCCCGGCGACGACCGTGCGTGGATATAGGTCGCGATAAAGTAGCAATAACGGCGCCTCTTCCCGGCCCTTTGCTCTGACTGTTGTTACCGAGAAGACACCCCTCCCTCTTTTGAAGTTCTGCAACTTTTTACGAGATTTTACATAATTTCAAGGATTACGACTCCTGGCCAGAAGCAAGGAAAATGGCCAGTAAATGAGCTCCCCGGGCGCGGTGAGGTTAGGTTAGGCTAGCGGCTCGGCTAGCGGAGAGTGCATTTATTGGCCTTTTTGGCCAAGATTTCGACCCGGGCTGGTCTGCAGCGCGTCGAGGAGGTGGACTTGACCCGACCTGAACGCGTGCAATACGGCAGATCAACACCCGTAAAGAACGGCACTGTCTCACCAACAGCAGTCAATGGCCGAGTGGGATAAGGCGTAGACACCTGACAGCAGTGGCGTGGGATCGACTCCCGGTCGGGGCGAGCTTACTGCGAACCTTTTCGAACAACAATTTTACAACAAAAACGAGGCAAGTTGCGTTGATGCGTGTGCTTCGGCCCGGGATCGAATCCAGGCCTTGGCCGAATAGTAGAAGGTTAATTCCAGGTGGCCTGTAGAGACATAGGCAGAAGTGGACGAGAGCTCAGCACTAGCAGTCAGTGGCCGAGTGGATTGAGGCGTCTGCGACTGATCGCTTCGGTGTGGGAACGACTCCCACCCGAGGAGAGCAGTCCACGACTTTTCTCGGTCCTCCGCTCTCTATTACGAAAGGGGCGAAAACACATACAAGACTTTCGCAGCAATGGACCATATCGTGGCGCCGTAGCTCAGTCGGGAAAGCGCCAGCTTGGGGGGGGGAGCCGATGGTCAGAGAGCGCTGGGATGGTGGCTGGTTCAAATACCGTCCGCGGAACATTTTTCCCGCTCTGCTGGCCCTGTGTCTTCGGGCGTCAGCGACGGCTGAGATAGACATGTCGCCGGGAGCGAGACTCGCTAGCGGTTCTCCGTGGCTAGGTCGGTAGCGTGCCGGCCCGCTGTGGACCGGGTCACAGGTTCGGTTCCCGTCCTAGCGACATTTTTCGCGCTCCGCTGGCCATGACTTTTAAGCCGTACGATACCTGATGTGATGGGCCGGTTCGCAAACAGTCGCTGGTTCGAGTCTCGTCGACGGAACCCTTTTGCCTTTCTGCCGGCCATGTGTTTCGAGGTGTGAGTCATTGCGGAGATAAGCATTATCTGTGCAACAGCCTCATTGGCTCAGTTGGTAGGGCCCGCGCTTCAAACGCGGAATGTCGTTGGTTCGAATACTGAGTTCCAGTTTCCCCTTTTTTCCGGCATCCGAATGAACTGACTAGGCTTGCAGCAAGACGAGGAGGTGGACCCAACCGACCACCTATTCAGCAGGTCCCCCCAAAAAGTTCGCTCCGAACACGACTCGATCCCTCGCCCGGCGGTGTCCGGATCAAGAGTTGGTATGTTCGCCACTCGGCTGTCGGCTCCACCTGTCGTTGGCGAGTTCACAACTCGGTCCCGCTTCCCGCTATACGAATCCTTGGACTACCGTGAGGCAGGCGGTCAAGTCGACCTCTTCATCGCGCTGAGGTCCGGGTCGGATAACACGGAAAATGGCCAAGAAACGGCCTGATTCGAGATTCAAGGCGCGCCGAGAGCGCAGTTTTTGAACATTTCCTGTGTTATCCGACCAGGGCTGCAGCGCGATGAGGAGGTGGACTTGACCGCCTACCTTACTGGAGACCAAGACCCGTAAAGCAGCACCGAGTTCTGAACTCCTCCCCGATACGAGGAGGTGACGGCCGAGTGGCGAGCGTGCTTGCATGTAGTCACCTGAGTAAGGTGGGTCTGGGGATCGAATCCTGGTCGGGGCGGAACTTTTCCCCGTTTTATTGGCGACGGCTATGTGGCCGCCAGAGACACCGTACATTTGGCTCCACCCTTGAAGCGCTATCCGCCATATTGCCTTGGTAGGGAAATTGGTATAGTGCCCGGACGCGACGCAGATGATCGCACGTTCAAATCCCGACCGGGGAGCATTTTTCTTCCTGTTGGCCAAGTGTTTCCCTGGCGTCAGTGGCAGTAGTCGGTGGAGACATAGGCACAAGCGGACAACGGCAGTCCACTGGCAGTCAGTGGCCGAGTGGGTTAAGGCGTCTGCGACTGATCGCTTTGGTGTGGGAACGACTCCCACCCGAAGCGGGCGGTCCACGACTTTTCTCGCTCCCTCGCTCTCTATTGCGAAGGGAAGGGGCGAACGCACAAAGAGACTCTCGCAGCGATCAATAGTATCGTGGCGCCGTAGCTCAGTCGGTATAGCGCCATCTCGGAGAACCGATGGTCAGAGGTTCGAAGCGCACCAGGAATTCGTTTTCCACTTTCCGTTTGCAACGGCCGGGCGAAGGCAGCTCA